AACAATTTAAAGGCAATGCTACCAAATACTAGTTGAGTGTATGTAAACGTCTGACCCACTGGGAATGTGATGAAAGAAATAAAAGCTGAAATAAATCATTCTCTCTACTATTATTCTTACATTTCACATTCTTAAAATAAAGTGGTGATCCTAACTGACCTATAACAGGGAATTTTTACTAGGATTAAATGTCAGGAATTGTGAAAAACTGAGTTTAAATGTATTTGGCTAAGGTGTATGTAAACTTCAGACATATATATATATATAATTATTCAGATCCTTTACTCAGTACTTTGTTGAAGCACCTTTGGCAGCGATTACAGCCTCGAGTCTTCTTTGGTATGATGCTACAAGCTTGGCACGCCTGTATTTGGGGAGTTTCTCCCATTCTTCTCTGCAGATCCTCTCAAGCTCTGTCAGGTTGGATTGGGAGCGTCGCTGCACAGCTATTTTCAGGTCTCTCCAGAGATGTTCGATCGGGTTCAAGTCTGGGCTCTGGCTTGGCCACTCAACGACATTCAGAGACTTGACCCGAAGCCCCTCCTGCGTTGTCTTGGCTGTGTGCTTAAGGTCGTTGTCCTGTTGGAAGGTGAACCTTTGCCCCAGTCTGAGGTCCTGAGCGCTCTGGAGCAGGTTTTCATCAAGGATCTCTCTCTTTGTTCCGTTCATCTTTCGCTTGATCCTGACTAATCTCCCAATCCCTGCCTCTGAAAAACAAATCAAATCAAATCAAATTTTATTGGCCACATGCGCCGAATACAACAGGTGCAGACATTACAGTGAAATGCTTACTTACAGCCCTTAACCAACAGTGCATTTATTTTTAACAAAAAAGTAAAAATAAAACAACAACAAAAAAAGTGTTGAGAAAAAAGAGCAGAAGTAAAATAAAATAACAGTAGGGAGGCTATATATACAGGGGGGTACCGGTGCAGAGTCAATGTGCGGGGGCACCGGCTAATTGAAGTAATATGTACATGTGGGTAGAAAGTGGGTTAAAGTGACAATGCATAAATAATTAACAGAGTAGCAGCAGCGTAAAAGGATGGGGTGGGGGGGGGCAGTGCAAATAGTCCGGGTAGCCATGATTAGCTGTTCAGGAGTCTTATGGCTTGGGGGTAGAAACTGTTGAGAAGTCTTTTGGACCTAGACTTGGCACTCCGGTACCGCTTGCCGTGCGGTAGCAGAGAGAACAGTCTATGACTAGGGTGGCTGGAGTCTTTGACAATTTTGAGGGCCTTCCTCTGACACCGCCTGGTATAGAAGTCCTGGATGGCAGGAAGCTTGGCCCCAGTGATGTACTGGGCCGTACGCACTACCCTCTGTAATGCCTTGCGGTCGGAGGCCAAGCAGTTGCCATACCAGGCGGTGATGCAACCAGTCAGGATGCTCTCGATGGTGCAGCTGTAGAATTTGTTGAGGATCTGAGGACCCATGCCAAATCTTTTCAGTCTCCTGAGGGGGAATAGGCTTTGTCGTGCCCTCTTCACAACTGTCTTGGTGTGTTTGGACCATGATAGTTTGTTGGTGATGTGGACACCAAGGAACTTGAAGCTCTCAACCTGTTCCGCTACAGCCCCGTCGATGAGAATGGGGGCGTGCTCAGTCCTCTTTTTTTTCCTGTAGTTCACAATCATCTCCTTTGTCTTGGTCACGTTGAGGGAGAGGTTGTTATCCTTGCACCACACGGCCAGGTCTCTGACCTCCTCCCAATAGGCTGTCTCATCGTTGTCGGTGATCAGGCCTACCACTGTTGTGTCGTCGGCAAACTTAATGATGGTGTTGGAGTCGTGCCTGGCCATGCAGTCATGGGTGAACAGGGAGTACAGGAGGGGACTGAGCACGCACCCCTGAGGGGCCCCCGTGTTGAGGATCAGTGTGGCAGATGTGTTGTTACTTACCCTTACCACCTGGGGGCGGCCCGTTAGGAAGTCCAGGATCCAGTTGCAGAGGGAGGTGTTTAGTCCCAGGATCCTTAGCTTAGTGATGAGCTTTGAGGGCACTATGGTGTTGAATGCTGAGCTGTAGTCAATGAATAGCATTCTCACGTAGGTGTTCCTCTTGTCCAGGTGGGAAAGGGCAGTGTGGAGTGCAATAGAGATTGCATCATCTGTGGATCTGTTGGGGCGGTATGCAAATTGGAGTGGGTCTAGGGTTTCTGGGATAATGCTGTTGATGTGAGCCATGACCAGCCTTTCAAAGCACTTCATGGATACAGACGTCAGTGCTACGGGTCGGTAGTCATTTAGGCAGGTTATCTTAGAGTCCTTGGGCACGGGGACTATGGTGGTCTGCTTGAAACATGTTGGTATTACAGACTCAGTCAGGGACATGTTGAAAATGTCAGTGAAGACACTTGCCAGTTGGTCAGCACATGCTCGGAGTAAACGTCCTGGTAATCCGTCTGGCCCTGCGGCCTTGTGAATGTTGACCTGCTTAAAAGTCTTACTCACATCGGCTACGGAGAGCGTGATCACATAGTCATCCGGAACAGCTGGTGCTCTCATGCATGCTTCAGTGTTGCTTGCCTCGAAGCGAGTGGTTTAGCTCGTCTGGAAGTCTTGTGTCACTGGGCAGCTCGCGGCTGTGCTTCCCTTTGTAGTCTGTAATAGTTTTCAAGCCCTGCCACATCCGACGAGCGTCAGAGCCAGTGTAGTACGATTCAATCTTAGTCCTGTATTGACTCTTTGCCTGTTTGGTGGTTCGTCGGAGAGCATAGCGGGATTTCTTATAAGCGTCCGGGTTAGAGTCACGCTCCTTGAAAGCGGCAGCTCTACCCTTTAGCTCAGTGCGGATGTTTCCTGTAATCCATTGCTTCTGGTTGGGGTATGTACGTACGGTCACTGTGGGGACGACATCATCGATGCACTTATTGATGAAGCCAGTGACTGATGTGGTGTACTCCTCAATGCTATCTGAAGAATCCCGGAACATGTTCCAGTCTGTGCTAGCAAAACAGTCCTGTAGCTTAGCATCTGCGTCATCTGACCACTTTTTTATTAACCGAGTCACTGGTGCTTCCTGCTTTAGTTTTTGCTTATAAGCAGGAATCAGGAGGATAGAGTTATGGTCAGATTTGCCAAATGGAGGGCGAGGGAGAGCTTTGTATGCGTCTCTGTGTGGAGTAAAGGTGGTCTAGAGTTTTTTTTCCTCTGGTTGCACATTTAACATGGTGGTAGAAATGAGGTAGAACGGATTTAAGTTTCCCTGCATTAAAGTCCCCGGCCACTAGGAGCGCTGCATCTGGATGAGCGTTTTCCTGTTGATTTATGGCCTTATACAGCTCATTCAGTGCAATCTTAATGCCAGCATTGGTTTGTGGTGGTAAATAGACAGCTATGAAAAATATAGATGAAAACTCTCTTGGTAAGTAGTGTGGTCTACAGCTTATCATAAGATACTCTACCTCAGGCGAGCAAAACCTCGAGACTTCCTTAGTATTTGATTTTGTGCACCAGCTGTTGTTTACAAATATACACAGACCGCCACCCCTTGTCTTACCGGAGTCAGCCGTTCTATCCTGCCGATGTAGCGTATAGCCCGCTAGCTGTATGTTATCCATGTCGTCGTTCAGCCACGACTCGGTGAAACATAAGATATTACAGTTTTTAATGTCCCGTTGGTAGGATAACCGTAATTTTAGGTCATCCAATTTGTTCTCCAATGATTGAAGATTGGCTAATAGGATTGATGGGAGCGGCAGTTTACTCGCTCGCCGTCAGATCTTTACAAGGCACCCCGACCTACGTCCACAATATCTCTGTCTCTTCCTCATGCCAATGACGGGGATTTGGGCCTTGTCGGGTGTCTGTAGGATATCCTTTGCGGCCGCCTCGTTGAAGAAAAATTATTCGTCCAATACGAGGTGAGTAATCGCTGTCCTGATATCCAGAAGCTCTTTTTGGTTATAAGAGACGATGGCAGAAACATTATGTACAAAATAAATTACAAATAACGCGGAAAAACACACATAATAGTACAATTGGTTAGAGGGCTGTAAAAAACATCCCCACAGCATGATGCTGCCACCACCATGCTTCAACGTAGGGATGGTGCCAGGTTTCCTCCAGATGTGACGCTTGGCATTCAGGCCAAAGAGTTCAATCTTGGTTTCATCAGACTGAAGAATCTTGTTTCTCATGGTTAGAGTCCTTTAGGTGCCTTTTGGCAAACTCCAAGCGGGCTGTCATGTGCATTTTACTGAGAAGTGGCTTCCGTCTGGCCACTCTACCATAAAGGCTTATTGGTGGAGTGCTGCAGAGATGCTTGTCCTTCTGAAAGTTTCTCCCATCTCCACAGAGGAACTCTGGAGCTCTGTCAGTGACCTCCCTCACCAAGGCCCTTCTCCCCCGATTGCTCAGTTTGGCCGGGCGGCCAGCTCTTGGAAGAGTCTTGGTGGTTCCAAACTTCTTCCATTTAAGAATGATGGAGGCCACTGTGTTCTTGTGGACCTTCAATGCTGCATTCATGTTTTGGTACTCTTCCCCAGATCTGTGCCTCGACACAATCCTGTCTCGGAGCTCTACGGACAATTCCTTCAACCTCATGGCTTGGTTTTTGCTCTGACATGCTCTGTCAACTGTGGGACCTTATATAGACAGGTGTGTGCCTTTCCAAATCATGTCCAATCAATTTAATTTACCACAGGTGGACTTCCATCCTTAAGATGTTTCTACAACTTGATCAATGGAAACAGGAAGCACTTGAGCTCGATTTAGAGTCTCATAGCAAAGGGTCTGAATACTTATGTAAATAAAGTATTTCTGTTTTTAATTTTTTATATATTTGCAAAAGAATCTACACCTGTTTTTGCTTTGTCATTATTGGGTATTGTGTGTAGATTGAGATTTTTTTTTAATTTAATCCATTTTGGAATAAGGCTGTAATGTAACAAAAAGGGGAAAGGGGTCTGAATACTTTCCGAATGCACTGTACACCACACACACATCTCGTTGACTCTCTCCTTCTCTCCCCTCATCCGCAGGCTGTTTGCTGTACAGACCACGAGCACTGCTGCCCCCAGGGCTACAGCTGCAACATGCAGACTGGGACCTGTGATAAACCTGTAGAGGGTGTTCTCCTACATACGGTACCCCTGACAGAGGTGGCAGAGTCCCAGCAGAGGGCAGCAGAGATGGGTATGGATGTGAAGTGTGACAGCACCGGAGAGTACAGCTGTCCCAAACTGGAGACCTGCTGCAAGACCTCACCCACAGAATGGTCCTGCTGCCCTGCACCAAAGGTAGCGAAACGGCTACTTGGAATGAAAATCCTATGAATCCCAACTTGAAATTTTACTTTTGATGTAGAAGGGAAATTTGTGTGTAAATTTGACAAGTTGAGATGTTTTCTTAAATCACCTGAAATCAACTCCATATTTGGTTTGATGTTACATAAAGGATATTTGGCCTTTTTATTATTTATTTTTTTGGGCTGAGGCTGCACGACCAGATCGAACTTCCCCGCCCCCCAGGACACCTCTTTCCCATATATAAACAACCTTAAAACATTCTTTACATTTGATACTTTACGCAACAACAACAAATATTGTAGCAGCTGTGCACCCTCCCCCTCCCTTCAGGATGTATAAGTACTATTTCGTGAGTGAATTTTAGAGCAGATGGTGTGAATAAGCTAGCCTACCTGTATTTTGTTTCAATCAAAACACATAGTGGTGTGCACTGTTGAGTTTGGGCTGCATGAGAGAGAAATTCAGCACATGAGAACACTCATCCTAAAATCTCATAAGAAATTGCCTGGTGTCTTTAGTCTAACATAAGCATTATACAATGCTGTTATGTTGCTATTTTATATTCATTAGTCATTAAGTGATCTTGTGAGACATTGATTCAACTTTGATCCAACTTATTTAAACGAGCAACATTCGGAGAAGTGGCAGGGCGTCGCTCCGGTGTGTGTGCTCTGGCTGCACTACACTCCTGCCTATATGACAACATACGTAGCCTATATGTAACATTTATCCCACCCTGTCTACACATTGCATTGGGGCAAAGCGATCTGCATTTTAACCATAAATAACATAACTGTTATTACTCTTCTCAATGATCATGCAACACTGCACGATTTGATGGTCAGCACATCATTTGAAATTTGCCAGAGTAGCCTCTGGGCACCTTTGGGCAAACCTTCTGCACAAATAGGCAGAGTTTGACAACATGCCCGTCGATTTAAGTGATAAGTCTGCCGCACATAGGGTACAATGTGTGTGGGCAGTAAATTCAATTTGTGTGGTTATAGTTACAACAGACAAAGAAGTTTGTACAACGTGTCTTACACCCGGGGGAGAATGACTGCCCCCTCTCATTGAAACCACAGAAGTACAAGGTCAACTGCGGTACTGCAGGCACCAGATGCATGAACTGATTATTTTAAAATCGCACACAGAAGTTATACCAGTGGTATTCAAACCTTTTCAGCGGGACACTTATTTTCCCCGGCAGAATTTCTTGGGACCCAGTTTTTTTCCGGGACCCCACACCAAATATGACAACCTTAAAATCGGTACATTTCTATTGTTACATCAACAAATACTTCAATTCATTACTTTTCCATCTCTTATCAAAATGAAAAGAAACCAATAAATACATTTACTCTAACATTAGTGCAACGCCAGGGTTGTGGGTTCGATTCCCACGGGGGGCCAGTATGAAAATGTATGCACTCACTTACTGTAAGTCGCTCTGGATAAGAGCGTCTGCTAAATGACTAAAATGTAATTGTCTTTTTCAATAATTTGTACTCTACATTTTTATACAAAAAAAATGATATCTATATATATATATATATTGTAATTTTTGGGTGACCCCACTGTAGTTCCCCCGGCCTTCAACTTGAGTTACTCAATGAGAGGGGGCAGCACTGAGCTAGCCTGCAACGTCTCATCCTGGAGTAGCTCAAACTGCGCATGTTAGGTTTCCATGAGACATCATCTTAACCAAATTAATTTGGCTTCAATGCGCAATTGAGTCTTCACATAGGAATGACTGGTGTCACGTGATCGATGGCTTTGTCCATTCATGTATACAGTCAATTGCTTATACTAGACAAAGACGTCCGATCATCGCGGCTGGGTTGAGGGAGAACAGGAAGGGAGGGGGAAGCGGCAGCAGAGGGAGTAGCAGTTATGTAAAACAATTGTGCGTAAAGTAGCACATGCGCGTAAGGTTGTTTAGCCATCAGGAAGAGGCTTCTGAGAGTCTGGTCACGCAGTGATGCTGTAAAAAATGCTCAAATGCCCCCATCATTTCCATTGATTGTTTGCTTGTGGGGCTAAAGTTAGTTCAAGCTTGTGGTGGCTGTTTAAAGAACCTAACCATGGATTATTTTCTCCTGACCCATAGACTACTTTCAGGGTGAGTAACCATCTAATATCAAGTTGTAAAATCCTGAACTACTCCTTTAAACTCGCTTTCTCTTCACAGGCCATATGCTGCGCAGACACCAAGCACTGCTGTCCCATGGGATACACATGTGACCTGGAGCGGGGAGGCTGCTCCCAGCAGGCTGAGTTGAGCTGGGACATTTTCTACACCCACAACAAAAAGAGAGACTTTGTTCCTTTTGGACTCTGAGCTAATCGGGATGCACTGATCTGGACTCTGAGCCAATCAGGATGCAGCACTGATCTGATGTTCCTCACTCCAGCACACAACCTAACCTGCAGAACATGCCATAAGAGGAACAAACAACCTTATGGACACTGGACAAGGGAAAGGAGATGTATTTTGTATGTTTTTTTTGTTGGGGGTAGAACCAGGAAATAGAAATGGTTAGAAGTAGAGAATTCATCATCTCCACCCAAAGCCCATCCAAAATAGTTTTTTTTTTTTTTTTAAAGCAGCTAGCTTGTAGGTTTGTCTCAATGTCTTCACGTTTAGTTACTACTGCCCCAAATGCCATTTTCTCTATGCAAATGAGAAACATTAATGTATTATAGTCTCTTGGAACAAGAACTATCACTCTCCAGAATAAGCCTGCTTTAAGATGTATCAAAAATGTATTATATTCCAAACTCTTTCAAGAACACAGCTACATAGTAAAAGAAAGCTGATTTTCATGTTTCGTTGATGCAGGTAATATAATAATAATATGCCATTTAGCAGACGCTTTTATCCAAAGCGACTTACAGTCATGCGTGCATACATTTTTGTGTATGGGTGGTCCCGGGGATCGAACCCACTACCTTGGCGTTACAAGCGCCGTGCTCTACCAGCTGAGCTACAGAGGACCACCTAGCATTAGTAAGTGACCGGTAGTGTATCATTCTTTCTGGAAGCACTACAGAGCCATTGATCAGCCGACTGAGTGTTACTTTGATTGAACTTTTTGCTTGATTTTATGTCGTTTTGCCCACTGGCCTGGGTTCTTCACTTTCTGTGAAGATCAAAAAGGTCCAGTCTTTGACAGTTTTCTGTCATTAAAATGAAAATGCTGTCACTCAAACTCCTTAATTCATAGCCATTTTATTTTCTTGATATCATAATACCCATTGTTGATCAAAACTAAAATGGACTTGTGATCTATACAAATGATCATAAATAACTTGGTTTTAAATAAAGGGTTGTGCCATTTTGATTTTCAGTATAGGAATTACTGGTAAACCCCAGTTAAATGGTTACTACATGCAATTTGTGCATTTGTAGTGCTTGAACAAAAGTGATAGGGAAGTTAATCCAGTTCATAGGAATGATATATGATTGGTTAGTACAATGTTAGTTGATATCGAAATTGACACTAAGCACTCTGTGTTCTACCAGCCGTAGTAATGCTAACCAGTAATAATAATTTGAAAGTCAATGCAAACAATACTAGTTAGCACATCATAACTCTCATCCCATTCCCGACTAACGTCCCAAATCTGTATCTGTACTCTCTAGCTTTTTGTTTTGGATTTGTTTTTGTTTTTTTGTTTTTTACGTGAATGTCATGTTAAATGAAGTACTCGTTTCTCATTTAATTATAGTTTCCTTATAAAATATTTTATCTCATTGAAGAGGATGTTGAATTTGTGTCACTGAGTGTATGCCACTGAGGTGAAATAAAATTGTTTCAAATATTCGGTAGTGAAACAACCATTTTGGGTTGAGCTGTACTGTAGTACAGTAATAAGCAATGGATGAGTCATGTTTTTGTCTGAACCTGGGAGGGTATGGTTTCTGGATACAGTGAGGGGAAAAAAGTATTTGATCCCCTGCTGATTTTGAACGTTTGCCCACTGACAAAGAAATGATCAGTCTATAATTTTAATGGTAGGTTTATTTTAACAGTGAGAGACAGAATAACAACAAAAAAAATCCAGAAAAACGCATGTCAAAAATGTTATAAATTGATTTGTATTTTAATGAGGGAAATAAGTATTTGACCCCCTCTCAATCAGAAAGATTTCTGGCTTCCAGGTGTCTTTTATACAGGTAATGAGCTGAGATTAGGAGCACACTTTTAAATGGAGTGCTCCTAATCTCAGTTTTTTACCTGTATAAAAGACACCTGTCCACAGAAGCAGATTCTAAACTCTCCTCCATGGCCAAGACCAAAGAGCTCTCCAAGGATGTCAGGGACAAGATTGTAGACCTACACAAGGCTGGAATGGACTACAAGACCATCGCCAAGCAGCTTGGTGAGAAGGTGACAACAGTTGGTGCGATTATTCGCAAATGGAAGAAACACAAAAGACCTGTCAAACTCCCATGGCCTGGGGCTCCATGCAAGATCTCACCTCGTGGAGTTGCAATGATCATGAGTACGGTGAGGAATCAGCCCAGAACTACACAGGAGGATCTTGTTAATGATCTCAAGGCAGCTGGAACCATAGTCACCAAGAAAACAATTGGTAACACACTACGCCGTGAAAGACTGAAATCCTGCAACGCCCGCAAGGTCCCCCTGCTCAAGAAAGCACATATACAGGGCCGTCTGAAGTTTGCCAATGAACATCTTAATGATTCAGAGGAGAACTGGGTGAAAGTGTTGTGGTCAGATGAGACCAAAATCGAGTTCTTTGGCATCAACCCAACTTGCCGTGTTTGGAGGAGGAGGAATGCTGCCTATGACCCCAAGAACACCATCCCCACCGTCAAACATGTAGGTGGAAACATTATGCTTTGGGGGGGTTTTTCTGCTAAGGGGACAGGACAACTTCACCGCATCAAAGGGACGATGGACCGTCAAATCTTGGGTGAGAACCTCCTTCCCTCAGCCAGGGCATTGAAAATGGGTTGTGGATGGGTATTCCAGCATGACAATGACCCAAAACACATGGCCAAGACAACAAAGGAGTGGCTCAAGAAGAAGCACATTAAGGTCCTGGAGTGGCCTAGCCAGTCTCCAGACCTTAATCCCATAGAAAATATGTGGAAGGAGCTGAAGGTTCGAGTTGCCAAACGTCAGCCTCGAAACCTTAATGACTTGGAGAAGATCTGCAAAGAGGAGTGGAACAAAATCCCTCCTGAGATGTGTGCAAACTTGTCCGTGAGAGTCTCACCTTATCATAGAGGGGTCATATTAGTGTATAGCCCAAATATTTTCGGACTCTACAGGCACAAGTTGGCAGATCGGCGATACCGACTTCAGACGAGTCCCGTGGGGGTCGTCGAGCAAAACCGATTTTTGGGATGTCTCATGGTCTGACAAACGCCACTGTAGCTCTGCCATCCTTCACCTCAGATGAGGAAGGCCGACATCGGCGGATGCGGTGGATTGAGATGCAGCCCATGCATATCTAGCTTAAAGAGCCACTGAACAGTTGTTGCTTTTTAAAGGCAGTCGCTCTTTTTGTATTATACTAATTATTACTGCGTGGACATCGACTCTAGGTGGTTTAACTCCAATGAGGCACGTTAGCACTGTAATGCTCTGGCCCATGGGCCCTTTGGCTTTTACAGCCCTCTATTCTATTCTGTCACATGGACACGATTGTAAAGAGACACATTCTGTAAGGTTTCCAGTCATTTCAATTCATGATCCGTGATTTGTGGTCCTCTGTAGCTCAGCTGGTAGAGCACGGCGCTTGTAACGCCAAGGTAGTGGGTTCGATCCCCGGAACCACCCATACACCCAAAAAAAATTATGCACGCATGACTGTAAGTCGCTTTGGATAAAAGCGTCTGCTAAATGGCATATTATTATTATTATTATTATTATGATTTTTAAAGTGAATAATATTATTTATACATTTTGTACCTTAGTGTGCCAACTACACAATTTGTATGAAAGGTTTAACTTCTCTACCATAACTTTTACCAGCTTCACTTACTCTGATTAAATCTTTTAGTGGACTAAATTGCACTTTTTTGTCAATCAGTTTCAATACTGCTATTCTACCTTAATTGAGTTACACTCCATTGTGATTCTTACTTTTATTTGGTTTATTTATTGATGTTATATCCATGTTTTACCTATGTATTTCATGCCATGGGTATCAATACAACATATCTTTGAAGGTGATTGTACAACAGAATGAAATTAGGACAGAGGCCAGTTAGATGAAGGGAGGTGTATGTATTTGTTTGTTTGTTTAACTCCAAATTAACAATGACTACCTGCTTAGTCAAAAGACACATTGAAAAAAATTATATTCTAATAGTAAAACTGCTAGAGAGACTCAAGACAGTACCGAGCCTAGAGGAGTACAGTAGTGTGTTTCTGGGGCCGGGGGGCTGGGGGTGGAAGTTCTCATAACTCTCACATATGGTCTGTCAGCAGAAAGCTGGTGGGTTACACTTGGAGACAGCACACACAGACATACACAGACACCCACACACAGAACAGACACAAGTAGCTGAACTACTGGCCGATGTACTCCCTCTGTCTCTACTACTACTACTACTACAAAGAGAACCTCTCACAGAATTTTACAAAAAAATATATGGGGAATTGGAAATGATGCAGACAACTACGTTGATGGAAGCTACAATCTATCTGCAATTTTAAAGCTGATCTAAAAAAAATATATATATATAACTTCTCACAGAATAGGAGCAGCTGTTTTGCCTTTTGGGTAGGTTGGATTACTGCCTATTTGTTTTCTTGTCATTAAAACCAATGTATTTTATTGGCGTTAGAGGTAGGGCTGTTACGGTGACCGTATTACTACATCAACGGCGGTCACGAGTCATGATGGCAGTCAAATTCAATGTGACCGTTTAGTCATGGTAATTAGGCTTCTCCAAGCTCTAATGCTGCTGATGGTTATTAGCAGGGGCGCAACTTTCACTGGGGACGAGGGGGGACATGTCCCCCACACATAATGAAATTGCATTTTTGTCCCCCCAAATTTTATCATTGGAATGTGATACTACATTGGCAACGGTGTGCTTTAGGACCATGCGTACGCCTCCGAGCGGTCGGGTAGGCTGTTTGGAGTGTTTATCTGACTGGGTAAATATATATATATATATATATATATATATATATATATATATATATATATATATATACAGTGGGGAAGAAAAGTATTTAGTCAGCCAACAATTGTGCAAGTTCTCCCACTTAAAAAGATGAGAGAGGCCTGTAATTTTCATCATAGGTACACGTCAACTATGACAGACAAATTGAGAAAAGAAAATCCAGA